CCCAATTTGAAAGCTGCTTTAAGTCCTGCTAAAGCTGCCTCAGCTTCAGCATCAAAGACCTCTTTATTCGGTCCTAGAGAAAAGGAAGACCGCTGAAATAGCATTCCCGATTGATACAGGGCATATCCGCTGCCTGCCATTCCGTTTTCTAGTTTCGAGCCGTCTGTAAAGACCTTTATATCGGTCTGTAAAAGAGAGGCGTAGAATCTTTGAAACCTAGCAGCTGCCTGCTTCTTGGGTATATTTATAGGGGCCCTGATTCGCTGATGAATTGCCTCGCGTGCCTCCTGTAGGAGCCAGGGGGGGTTTTGCAGTGGGTTTAGTTGTTCTGATTCAGGGAGAGCTGTCACGCGGCGTGCAAAACGGCTATCCTGGAGGCCAGTTCGGGTTACCCTTTCTGCTCTTCTGCGGAGAGGGTGGTAGGGGTCAAGGCGGCGGAGACGGGCCGTAGCAGTAGAAGCTATATAGTCTAGTTCAATCTCCGCTGGGAGAAGTCCTGACTCCCGGAAGAGTGTAGGGGTTGGAGTAGTACGGTAAACTGGAAGAATCGCTCTAGCCCCAGCTAGTATCACCCGAGTTATCTTGTCAAGGTGGTCCTGGACCCTGTTCGAGATTGTCTTTGATTCGGGACCAGAGCGAGACCGGCCTGGCCACCAAGTCTCTGCACCGTAGTAGGCTCTGCGGAGTACGCAGGCCTTAACAGCTTGCTGTATAAGATAGGGATTGACTCCGCGGATTGTGTTTCCGAGGGAGCGTAACGCATTGGCGACAACTATAGCTTTTGAAGCCATTTCGTTAACGTGATATTTGAAACTGAGCTTCTTGTCGAAAAGGATTCCCAGCCAGCGTAAATACGGGCGTTTTAGATTCTCTGAGACTGTAACAGGCCCCGCTACCACTGATGGTGTGCGGCTAGGGTCTTGATCGGCCCTATGTCGCGAAAAGTGTAACAGCTCATATTTATCTGGTGCAAAAGTAATTCCTTGTGCTAGACCCCAATCCAGAGCTTCCTGTAGGACATGTGATAGGTTCTGAGCGTTCGCCTCAAGGGACAAGGAAGTTGCTAGGAAAGCTCCATCATCTGCGTACCCGAATC